CTCTAGTTTTTGCACATGATAATTTTTCAAAATGATCCAGAGAGTTTGAAATTTATATACTCACAGCCATGTAATTGTAGGTCCCGACAAATGTGTCCCGTTGAGCCATAGAGTTTGCCAGCATTGCACTCACACCGAAATCCGTAATCTTAACCTCACCTTTGTGGTTCACTAGCAGGTTCGAGGGCTTTATGTCTCTGTGAATCACGTGCCTCTCGTGATGTAAGTAGACCAGGCCATGTAAAACCTTAAACAACACGTTGACAAAAACAGAAACCGAAAGAAATATAAGTATGCTTTTTTATGATATATAAAGATTATATGGTGAGAAACTAAGGGTGGGATTGGACATTAACGAGAGAAGATTTTTCATTCCCTATAAAAAAAATCAACCCGATTTACTCATTTTACTTTTTTCTCCCATCAATTACAAGTACAATTTTAATATAAAAACCAATCTTAACTACACATTTTTCACAAATTGTACTCTTTATCCACTGGCATATTTCTACCATCAATATTATTTTACTCTTTTTGCACACATCAACTTTGATCATTACATATTCATTGACCACATTTTCCAAAATCTCCACAAAATATTTCCCCGAACACTTATGACCGATTGGATACAAAATAATTTTCATTTTTATCTGTTCAATCATGTTATCTCATTGAAACCGAAAATTGAACAAAAAAATCTCCCAGAAAATACTATTCACTTCATCTCATTTTTTCCTCTACAATCTCACTACACATTTATAAAATACAAAAGTACTCATTATTATATATTTTCCAACAAGAGAACTATTCACTCACACATTTCTTTTTTNAATAACAGCTTTGCTAATGAAAGCAAATTCAATCACACTATAACTGACCTGTTTGCATACAACAGCAAGATAGGGTTCGAGGATAGTCTTGACCTGTCTGATTACATCAACTAGTGATCCACGATCCATGTATTCAAACACAAGAGAGATAGCTCCATTGTGATAAAACGAGTGATAGCAAACCACAACATTTGGACATTGTGAAGCTTGATTTATTTTGAGCTCTTGAACGATTTGTTTGCGAATCTCCTCTTGTATATTCATCTGGATAACCTGTGACAACCCCTTTCTTAATCAATTAAATGAAATAAGAAAAATTTAAGAGGAAAACCATTACTTTGTACAATGTACATAGACCTGAATGTTATTTATAGTCTTGATTTTTTTTAGACAGCAATTTTATTAAATAATTGGAAAATGGAAAAGGAAAAATAAAATATAACTGATTTCCTTTGTAATTGCACCGACTGCTATGTCATCTGGTTATTTCAAATATAGGTTACTCAGCTCATTATCAAAATCAAAAGAAAACATAAGTAATGGCATTAAGAAATCTGTACTGCAAAACCTATTGTCAGAACACCTAATAATAAACTTATCAAGATTCCAGAAAAAAATAAAGATAAACAAATTCTGAAATACATAATTATTGTGTATTAACCTTCAAGGCAAACAATGTTCCAACCCATTTGTGGCGAACAAGTTGAACAACACCACCACTTCCCTTGCCGATAACTTTGATGGTCTCAAGATCTTCCAATGAGAACTGAAGATCAATCTCCTTTGTTTCTGAAGGCTACAAAGTCATTACACAACAGAAAGAGATGAGAGGGAGAAAAGAGTAAGAGATTAGAAGAAATTTTCAGTTACAAATTTAGATTGAACGAGTTATATATTATTCCAGCTGGTCTATCTCCAAAATATAGGGTGAAATGCAGCAATAGATCTCAAGCTGTTTGCAAACCGATTTTGACAAATCCAAAACCTGTAACAATTTACTAGTTTTTCCTATCTCTTTTTATTTCAACGATATAATCTTTTCAACTGATTTAGTGAAAAAAGAAATCAAAACCATGTCAAAAGATAAGGATATGATGCAATAATGTGAGAACTTTTTGTATTGAAGCAGATATGAACTCAATCTAGTGTAGGTACCTGACGGGTTAACAACAAATATTTGTAATGTGCTTTTCAAATAAGTGTTATATTCCATGGCCAGGCAGCTAATGGGTCAAATACAAGAAAGAAAACCAAAGAAAATTAATTATGTATCAACTGCAGAAATTTTGCTCAAATAATGGTTAGCTTTCAGCTCACATAAGGAATAGAAAATAACAAAGGAAATCGAGAATAAATTTTTATGCCCTAGCATCCAGGAAAAGCGACTAGAACCAGTAGACGAACATGTAGCTACCACCAAGACATGAAGTAAATTGGTTATAATTATGTCCATAGTTTATGATCCTTTGAAATTGTATTCCAGCTTAGATAAAAATTAACTGGATTTTGGATTAGTCTTATTCGCCCTAAGTGTTTCTATAACGAACACCGCAAGGAACAGTGATCTTGGTACATACCACGAATTGTCTAAAAACCAACAGATCTTGATTGAACTTGTCAATAAATTTTAAATCATCTACTTACAGTCGGAATTTACCAGATTAGTCATTATAAATATTAACCTTGAATTATTCAGAGGTGTAGAATAATGATGGGCTTGGTAAGCAAAAGACCGAGTGAGCATCCTCAAAGTTATCTCAACAAAATTGAAGCTACTATTCTTCACAGGAATTTTTCTGCTCATAGCTGCATAAAATTCGCACCAAAATTAAGTACACGAAAGTTTACAT